CAGTGGGTCACAGACTGGTTTGGGTTGGAAGGGACCTTAAAGCCCATCCAGTCCCACTCCCAGGGCCACCTTCCACTAGACCAGGTTGCTTCCTGGCCTTCCAGCCTGGCCTTGAACACTTAACGCTTGCAGGGTAACTTGTAACAGGGTGTTCCTGTTCGTTTGTCCTGCAGGTTTCTGCTGACACGCTTAAAGGACTTCTGTGGAGAGTTTCTGAAGAAGAAACTGAACCTCTCCAATTGCGTAGCAGTTCACAGCTTGGCCCACATGTATTCCCTGAACCAGCTGGCCCTCAAAGCACAGGATATGATCAGGAGAAACTTCCACAAAGTCATCCAAGATGAGGAGTTCTACACTTTGCCGTTTCACCTCGTCCGGGACTGGTTCTCGGACTCAGAGATCACGGTGGACTCTGAAGAGATCCTCTTTGAGACTGTTTTAAAGTGGGTTCAGAAAAATCCTGAGGAAAGAGAGAGGTACTTTGAAGATCTCTTTAAGCTGCTGAGGTTGTCTCAGATGAAACCCACGTACCTGACTCGCAACGTCAAATCCGAGCGGCTGGTGTCGAGCAACGAGGCCTGTGTGAAGTTGGTGTCCGAGGCCGTGGAGAGCCATGCCCTGCGCTCTGAGAACCTGCAGTCCGGGAACCTGCAGCATTCCGCCTGTCCCGCCGCGCTCCTGCCGCGCTTCGGGCAGAACATGGATGTCATCATCGTCATCGGCGGCGTGTCCGAGGGCGGTGACTACCTGAGCGAGTGCGTGGGCTACTTCATCGATGAGGACAGGTGGGTCAACCTGCCACACATCCACAACCACCTGGACGGGCACGCCGTGGCCGTGACTGAGTCCTACGTGTATGTGGCTGGCTCCATGGAGCCGGGGTTTGCCAAGACTGTGGAAAGGTACAATCCAAACAGAAACATTTGGGAGCAGGTCTCGAATCTAATCACCAGAAAGCATTCCTTTGGCCTGACTGAAGTGAAGGGCAACTTGTACAGTATTGGTGGACACGGCAACTTCAGTCCAGGCTTTAAAGATGTGGCCATTTATAATCCCGAGCAGGACAAGTGGCAGAACCTGGAGTCGGCACCCAAGATCCTGCGGGATGTCAAAGCTGTCTCCGTGGAGGACCGGTTTGTGTACGTGGCCGCCCGCACCCCGGTCGACAGTGACAGCGAGGACGGGCTGAGGGCCGTTATTACCAGGTATGACACTGAAACCAGGCAGTGGCAGGACGTGGAGTCCCTGCCCCTCATCGACAACTACTGCTCCTTCCAGATGTCCGTTGCCAACACCAACTTCTACCACACGGCCTCGTGCTGCCCTAAGAGTTACCCCATCGACAACGAGGAGGCCAAGGGAAAGATCTCTGGCAGGGCCTCAGATGAAATCCTGGAATCCTTGCCCCCCGAGGTCCTGAGCATTGAAGGAGCAGCCATTTGTTACTACAAGGACGATGTGTTTATCATCGGGGGGTGGAAGAACAGCGATGACATTGACAAGCAGTACAGGAAGGAGGCCTATCGCTACTGCGCCGAGCGCAAGCGCTGGATGCTCCTGCCCCCGATGCCACAGCCCCGCTGCAGAGCCACCGCCTGCCACGTGAGGATCCCCTTCAGGTGCCTGCAGGGAACACAGAGGTACCCCATGCCACAAAACCTGATGTGGCAAAAGGATAGAATAAGGCAAATGCAGGAAAGGCAGATGCAGGAGATCCACCGACACTCCCTGACCTTACGGCGAATGCCACGCTCTCAGATTGAGTGCTAGTGTCTGGAATACCACTCCTGATGGGCCTAGGAAGTAAACCCTTTTGTTAGGCTTGATATGTCTTTATAAGACATGAGGATGTGGATTGGATTTGATGCATAAAACCAGCATCTTTTGTGTACTGAAAAGTCAGAAGCTCAGAAGTTGAGGATGGGTGGGAATTGAGATGCTCTGTGAATCCAGCAGTATTCCTTAATGGTGCCTAGGGAGAAGCTGTAGCCTGTATCGGGCTGTGAAATGTCTCCGGGTGCATTAAGCCTGTTACTTCTCTCCTCGGATCTTTGCTTCCAAGGGTTTCTGTAGAGTTAATCTCTAACAGTTCTCCTTTGAAAATCAAAGATCTCTCTCTTAATAATTTAGTGGTTACATTTGTGTGTGCTCGAAAGCACCTTTTTATTTGCACTTATCTCTTGACATTCCTTTGATTCTCTCCTCAGTGACTAAACTTCACAGGATTGGTGTTGGTGTACTTGGCTTTCCCAAGCTGGAGGCAAGTGCAATAGTTCTGTATGAAACAAAAGCACAATCTTCCTTTATGAAATTGCTTCAGGATGTTTCTATGTGTATTAAATATTTTGTATCTGTGCGTTGTAGAGAGGCTGCAGTTTGTTTATAAGTGGATGATTGATAGGACACAAGACGCAGGAAGAGAGAACTTGAGGCAGTGGATTTTATTTCAGATGTATCTGCAGATTTGAGTCTGTGTTTGACAGCTTTGTTAGAAACTGGAGTCTAACAGCAGCCTGAGACAAGGAGTGACAACCAGTGTTGAACCACCCACCCACACTGGCTGTTCATTTCTGTCAGAGTGGAGCAGTGAGAATGGGATTATTCCATGGGAATAGAGTGAAACCTGAGCTACACGTAGATCCTTTCTCAAATGTTGCACATGTTTTAATTCTAGTGAAAAGTGATGGAAGAGCCCCTGCTGTTCCCAGCGTGTCTCTGACAATCAGAACCCTTTGCCTTCCATGTGCTGTCCCGAGGAATTCCCAGCAGCCATACTGCAGCTCCATAATGAGCCCACACGTGCTCCTCTGGCAGGGAGAGATGGGTTTTCAAAGTCTTCAAATATCTGAATTTCCCCACTTGCTGTGGGGGTGAGATTTAAGCTCATTTAAACACCTTTTGGCATTCTGAGGTAATTTTACATCCAGCTGCCCTGGTTGACTGTGGGTTTCTTCCCACTGTACTCCCAGGGAATAGAATGTGGAGTATTCCCTTTGAGCTGTCCCACTGAGCACTCCTGCCCAATCCGAGGAGCTCCAGGATCCCATAGTTTACCAGCAGTTTCAGTGCATCCTTCCTACCTCCTTTTCTCTCCATCCTTCCCTTCTTTTGAATGTTCCAGGTTTTCCCAGCAGTGTAACTCAGGATCTTAGGGAAGGGAATGGGAGGAGTAATCTTGGTGTTCTGAAATCTGTGTAGACAAAACCTTGTTGGAGAATGTGTTACTGTTCTTGGTTCCTTGATATTTGCTGGTGGTTTTGATGTGGGCATCTTCACTGCAAAGAACTTGTAACCAGTTTGGGGTTTGTTTTGTTTTTAGTTGGTTTGCTTTCTGAGCTGCTCCTCTTCCTTTTCCAGTTCATCAGGCAGCCCAGATCGTATCTGAAACTTGGGGTAAGTCCTTCCACCACTGTGTGTAAAGGTTTCTCTGATGTGTATGTTCCTTAACGCACTACTTTGCAGTTCACGGGCCACTTTGGTATCAGTAACTTGCCTGTTCATGAGAGAGTCTCCAGCCTTGGTTTGAAAAACCCACCAAACTTGAAAAACTCTGAACGGTTTGTCCCAGTTGACCCCTCTGTGGTAACTGTATTGTATTTTCTTTGCCTGTTGGGTTGTTGGGGCAGGTGAAGTTTATGCTGCTGGCCTCATGCAAGTGGAAATAGGTGAGTTTAAGGTGATGTTTGCAGGTGACTGTTCCCAAACAGCTCCTGTAGGCCTGTAAGCCAGGAGTTGATCCATGGAGTTTGGCCCACGGATTCTTGCAGGTCTGGCTGGAGTAGGTTCAGAATTGCTGCCCCTGCAGGAGGTCTGTGATACAGTGTGGAAATGTCTCTCAGCTCTAGTGCTCAATCCATCAATGTAACAGCAGTTTGTGGGAGCTGGTTTTAAGATACTTTCCCAGACTTTGCACCAAAGCAACTGAGAGGAGTTCATATCCTTCACCTGGCTGGAGGGATTTAACAGGCAGTTGGAGGGTGGTAGTAGGTCACACCACCACAGCTCTATCTAAGCCCTCTTGTAGTCTGTCATGGAATACAGACAATTTGTAGGAAGAAACACGGAGATGATTATTTCAGTTGGAATAGCAACTAAATATTTAATGCATGGCAGCGTGCAACTAAGAGGCAAGAACAGACCTTGCAGTCTTGCTTTTTCTAAGCAAAATTGATATTGCACTTTCCCAGGAGGACTTTGGGCTGACAGAAAAGCTGTGTTGTTTACTAAAAGCACTCCCCTCAGAGCCAGTGTCAGCCCAGCCCATCCCTGGACAGGTAACCTGTGTGTGCCAGCCGCATGCCATGTGTGCTCTGTGTGCATGGCACTGGGGGTCCCTGGCAGCAGCATGGGCTACTCTAACCTTTGCTCTGCCAATTCTGGGGTAGTTTTAAGCATTGGTGCTTTTTGGCCTTGACTTTCAGTGGACTAACAGCATTGATGTGATTTGTGACTGATGGGTTGAACAATCCACTGCATCACACGAGGTGTTGGGAGAATTGCATTCACAGCTCGGGCTGTAATTTAGCCCATGAACCTGTGAATCCATAACAGTTCCTTGCGGCCCTTGAGTGCCATAGCTTGCTGGGTGTTTATCAGATGATCCCATAAACAAAAGCCTGGGGGTTCTTTCTGTGTGTTTGTAGTGGCTGGGCAGCTGTCAGCAGGGTCCCGGTGTGTGTGAACAGGGAGGCTGACTGCTGGCCTCGCTGTACTGGCGGTCACCGTAGTGACTCCCAGGGGCCATATGTGTACAGAATGTTTTATAACTACCTGGATACCCCGTTAGTAGCCTGGGGGTGTCTGTGTTTTGAGTGCCTCTCTTGCACATAGTAGAGACCACTGCAGAGCTGAAGCAAAGAGCCCAGTGTTGCACGTGCTGTGAACGGCTGTGCCGAGCATTCCACTCCACTATTGCAATGGCGTTTTTCCCATTACAGTAAATGTCAAAATCCAAACTCTTGGCTCAGCTTATGTGTTGTGGAATAGCCTGGTGGCTGCTGACAAACCAAGTCCTCAGGAATTACAACTGTTTAGGTTGTTCTTAACACAACCTTGTAAGAGGATATTGTAACATCCAATGGGTTTTGAAAAGCAAGTGTAAAGTAGGTGGTTTGTGGCTTGGATTCATTTTCAGCTCTGTCCACCCTAGGTTGGGGTACAAACCATCTCTCCTGTTTGACAGTCCTGGGTGGAGTCTAATAAAACAGGTGCTCCTGAGGATCTAACTCTGTTACTAATATGAATGTATAGTGTGGAACTAACAAGCTCTTTGAAGACCATTGATAGTCAGATCTTCCTCCTGGGTCCATGTCACTGTTGGTCACGGCAGCTCTGCTCTCCTGGGACATTAACGGAGGGGCAAGAGATTTCTGAGGAGCAGCACTCCTGTCCTTACCTGTGAGGTAAAGTAGTGTGTGTGATAGGCCCTTTGAAACAAATCCTGCTGTCATGTTCTTGACCTTAAATACACTGTACTAAAGTTTATTGTAAGAGGTGAATTAATGAAAATAAACCTTTTATTTCTCTAGCATCCCATTGTACTTTTGATTTTTTAAGTTGCTGTACAGGCTGTGACTGATAACACATGTTCTGTGGTGCCACAGAGTGAAAGCTTTAAATCCTAATGATTCTTTTGGCCTGTAGCAATTGTTTCTATTTTAGAACAAGAGAACATGCTCCCCTTCCTGCCCTAGAGACTTTACTAGCTAAAGAGAACTATTTACACAGGCATCCAATGCTGGGATGCTCAGAAGACTTTATTAGCTCAGCAAGACTATTTACAAGAGCATCCAGTGATGGCTGACCACCAGACTTAGCTAAGGGGGAACTATTTACAACGGGGCGCTCCGAGTTGAAGTGCTGAACGAGATGTCCATGGAGTTGTTGTGCCGGTAGTAGTGTTGCCTGGCGATGTACTCCATGACGTTGGACAGCCCTGGCACCACGCAGCAGCTGACGGCGCTGCGGGTGATGCCCATGCTGTGGGCGTCGTACCACTCGTTGGTGTCCTCCTCGTAGCACTCGGCAGCCACGGTGGTGCTGAACCCGTTGAAGCCCCCGACCACGAACAACAGGCCGTCCATCACCTCAATGCCAAAGTTGCTGCGTGGGTTTAGCATGGAGGGCACGGCGCGCCAGGTGTCGGTGACGGGGTTATATGCTTCCACGGTCTGGAGCCGGCTGTTTCCATCAAACCCTCCGACCTGCAAATGCCAAAGGGACAGAGCTGAAAAGGGCCTTCCCTCAGCCAGATCCTGTCACGCACCAGTGAGATGGGAGCTACTTCTGCCTCCCTGGCGGTGGTCTGAGCATGGTGGAGAGCACAGGATTTCAGAACAGTCTGCTCCCTTGGGAGCTTCCCAAGGCACTGTGTGCAGCTGTCAGATTTGACAGTTCTCCAGGTGTTGGATGCAGTCCATGGAGAATATAAACAATGAATGAACAGGCCCAAGCCCTGCTGTGTGCTGCTGATGCTGTTGGTAGTGGCAGAAGATAAGTTGTTTGCTGCAGCTGCTTAAACATTGCCCACATCTTTTTCCTACCAAAAAGCGTGTGATGGGTGATAACATTCTTGGTAAGTCCATCAACTGTTCTGGTTCTGACTTCCCTGAACCTCACATAAACACACGGCCAGCCTGGTGTTGTGGGAACTGCAGCCATACAAAGGCCTGCAGTGCAGGGTGGGGTGGCCCTTACCGCGTACACCTGGTTCCCGTACGCCATCACCCCAACCCCGCTCCTCCTGCTGCTCATCGGGGCGATCAGGGACCACTGGTTTGTGGCAGGATCAAACACTTCAGCTGAGCTCAGGCACTGATCACCATCAAACCCACCACAGATGTACACCTGGGGACAGGAGAGAGAGCAAAGTGCGAGGGGAGCAGTTAGACCATTGGTGAGACAGTCTGTTGGAGAGAAAATGAATGGTGTGGCTGGATTTTTGGGGTGTCTTATTTTGTTTTAGGAGGGGAATGAGAATGTCATCCTGGGTTTGAAGTAGCAGCACTACAGGGAGCTGAAGCCAGCAGGATTTAGACCCTTAATTTCCCAAGCTGCATGAAGCAGACAGGCCTGGTATTGTACCTTTGGCCAGAAAAAGGGCTGGCAGGCACCAGGTGGGCTGTTGGGGGGCAGCAGCTCCAGAAGAGTTTTCACGCTCCTGGTCACATCTCTGCCACACGAGGCAGATGCTGTTTTATATCTGTAGGTCCAGGATTTAATGAATTGTTACAAATTCAGTGAAGGTTTATGTGAACTTTTTTCATGTTGCAACTCTCCATCCTCTCCCCTTCTGTTTACCTTTCCGTTCAGCGTGGTCGCGTTGGCATCGCTCCTCTGCTCGTGCATGGGGGTGATCAGGGTCCACTGGTTGGTGTCTGGGTCATAGCGCTCTGCTGTGTTGAGCCGTATGTACCCGTCAAACCCTCCCATGGCGTAGATGAAGTTGTCCACGACGGTGACGCTGACGTAGCAGCGCCGTGAGTGCATGGGTGCCACCTGCTGCCACGTCTTCTGGAGTGGGTCAAACCGCTTGACGATGTTGAAATAATCGGTGCCATCAAATCCGCCAATGACGTAGACGTAGCCTTTCAAATACGCCGAGCCGTGGTAGGCAACAGGGCTCTCTTGCTCCCAGGGGATGTTCAGCCACTTGTCGGTGCGGCCGTCGTAGGTCTCGATGGCGCTGGTGGCGCCGCCCCCGCTCCAGCCCCCGATGGCAAAGAGGATGGCGTAGGGCAGGCGCGGCCGGGTGAGTGGGTTGGCATTGGCTGAGGAGCTCTGGCCGTATGAGTTCAGGTCGTAGATTTCTGACAGGGCACTGATGATGAGATCTTTGCACTCAGCATTGTCCTTCACGTACTCGTGAGCTTTGACGTTGTTCATGAAGTAGTCAGACTGGAGGAGTGCCAGTCGAACCTGGAACATGCAAGGAGGAGGTTAGAATACTAATGCTGATGGTTTCCCCCTCGACAGCCTTTGGGGACAGCTTCAAAGCTGTGCTGCACCCACCTTGCCCAGCAAGCAGGCGATGTACTGCCTCCTGTTCTGCGGGTCGTGAGCAATCCACCTCAGCACAGCCTCGAACACGGCTTCTTCTCGCTTCACGTTGAGCTCATCCTTCTCAATGATGTGTGCCAGCTCCTCAGCAGAGAGGTCTAGGAACTCCTCGGACACCTGGGACACCTCCTCAAAGTGATGCAGGATATATGCACAGGCGGCTGCGCGCAGGTCGGGGCAATAGTAATAATCAGTGAGTCTGCAGGTGCCAATGCAGTTTTCGAAGCACAATCTGGATCTCAGGAACTCGCAGCACAAGTTGACGATGCCCATGACATTGAACTGGTCTGCTGCAGCCAGCAAACTCTCAACGTTGTCATCCGTGATTGGTACTGTCCCAGTGTAGGCATAATTGATGATGAGACCCATCATTTCAGCTGAAACGCCGGGGATTTGATAGACCATCTTGCCTGGGCGGTCCCAGTTGGTAAACAGAGTCCTGAAAACACAGCATTGCTGCATTAAATCCTGTCCTTGGGTCCCCCGTGTTTCCCAAACTCCCAGGGCAACAGTTTAGGCACTGGCAGGAGCCCTGCTGTTTGGAGGAGCCCTGTGTGGAGGCTCCATAGTTTATTAATTAATGTTTTACTTCCTGGTTGTTTGAAAAAGGAGATACAGCCTCTGGCTGGGGACAGGGAGCACCAGGGCGAATGGCCCCCATGCCTCCACAGGAATCATAAAATCACAAAATGGCCTGGGTTGGAGGGGACCTTAAGGATTATCCCATTCCAACCCCTACCACGGGTAGAAATTCCTTCCACTAGACCAGGTTGCTCCAAGCCCCATCCAACCTGGCCTTGGACACTTCCAGAGATGGGGCAGTCACAGCTTCTCTGGGCAACCTGTGCCAGGACCTCACCTGGCTCACAGGGAGGAATTTTTTCCAAATATCTAATATAAACCTCTGTCAGTGTGACGCCATTACCCCTTGTCCTGTCACTCCAGGCCCTTGTAAATAAATCCTTGTGTTTCCAGTACTGACCTGAAGTAGACACTACAACAAGAGAGGATGAGCTTGTGGGCCTTGAATTCCACTCCGTCTACGCTTATGATCACATCACAGAATCGCCCTTCCAGGCGGAGCTCATTGGAGATGGAATTCTTGTCTCTCATCCACTCCATGTTGGAGGATGGCTGGTGGGTACTGAGTTATCCCCCACGTGTGAGTCAGAGGCAGAGTGGACCTCGCTGACACGCGTGGAGCACTCTGGTGTTGCCTGGAAACATCCAGCGCTGAACCCACTCGCTGGCTCTGGATTGTGCCCCATGATGACATCACAACCGCAGGGGTGACCCAGGCCCAACATTCCCTGGTTGCCCGCAGCCTTCACTTCCCCTCGGCCCAGGTTATGCTGAACCCTGGGCCTGCACCATGTTGATGGTTGCTTGGAGCAAATGGTTGCTTGGAGCAAAATCGTCTGTGTGATCCCCCACCATAATAATACTTAATAATAATAAATAATCCTCAGTATTATTTTGCCAGAGTGTAAAAGTCCCCAAAGGTGGGCACTGACTGCTGCTGAAGTGCCTTGTGCCACCTCACCCAGGAGGAAGCTGAGGCACAGCCCAGCTCCTGTCAGTGCTGAAGTCGCACACACTGCCCCTGATTTGTCACTCGAGGTGTGCCAGGGGAGG